GACTTAGCCTCTAAAAGTAATGTTTTAAATTAATGCACACACACACACACACACACACAAAGACTTAGACACACACACAAAGACACAAAGATAACTTTTTAACGTTTTGAAAAATCGCTTTATGTTTGAAGAGTAAGTATTGTATTCTTTGTAATCGTGTTCTGTTTCTTTTGTTCATACAGAGCAGTGGGTAAATTACCCGAAATGGAGAAACTACTGAGGGGCCAGGTAATACTGCTAACTTAACTTCATTGCCATTACGGTGAAGGGTCGCAAAGACCCGATTTTTTTGGATACAACAAGAACGATGATATCAAACAAAAACTATCACAAACCACAATATTGTGCAAGTCTGGAGACGAGGACAATCCTAAAAGCAATGTAATTGGCATCCAATCGTGCTTCTTTTGAGATTTTCGTCTCGATATTTTGTCTCGATGGTTTGGTGATTTGATATCTGGCACTCTTAACTCCCGCGCGCGCTTTTGCGGTTGATCCCCTCAGCCACGTGAAAAATGCCTCCCTCTACTGGAGGGATAGAGCATGTTTGAGCTCAACCAACTAATTCATTATTCCTTACTGACCTTGTCAATTCCAAAAAAATTGGATGGTCCAACTAACAAGTTATGAGAAATGCAAATTCACTCTGATTGCTCGAAGATTTGCTTGTGTTAGACCCTTTTCTCTGCAAACTAGCCACGGAAGACAAAGACCTTCATTTGTGCTGACTCACTGAGGTCGTAACGTATACTTGTGTCTCTCTTAGCCTGGATTTGGAACTGGTGAAAGCAGTGAAACATCTTTGCAGCTATTTATTGTTGCGCTTGGGCGTCATCACTCATCACTGGTAAGAGAACTAAGCTTATAGAGCAACTTTCAACTGAGTGATGAGACTAACCATGGATTTCATTGGTTTCTCTTTCCTACATTGTGTTATTCATCAAGAAATCTCACGACTCCTTTTCGACCAATCAGAAAGAGAACCTAAACCAATGACGATGTGGTCACAGGCTCTTTCCCGCGCTTTATCTCGATTGGCTCTTGGTGACATTTACCCTATTCTGATTGGTCGTCCTGGTTGCTATAGTTTGGTTCTACGACACTTCATTGGCAAGCGCCTCCGTATTTACTTGACCCTTGGGCTTCTTTAATAAAAGAACAGTAATCTATCATGCTAATTTATGAATTATAGAAACTTATGAAAGTTGTGAAATGAATAATTTTTCGCCCAATGAGGTATTTCCCGGACGAACACTTAATTGTATTCACTATGTCATCAGACAAAGTTTGACGAATCAATCCAGTTCCGCGAGACGGTGCAGAGATACCTGGGTGACGTCATTAAGTACGTGGACCACGTGCTAAGAAATGTTGGACCTGCGAACCAACTGAGGTAAGTGACGAAAACAACGAACAGGAAACTTGATTCAATGCTGAGGGGTAATCTGCGATGAACTGGTTTTCGTCCACGAGTGGAAATACTACAACCAGTCCCCTTATCCTACAAAAATCCTAAGGCTTCATGGAAGTAATGGCACACTGAGGCGACAAACACGACGAAACTATTTGAAAAGGTTTTTCCAGACACACGCATTTCACCAATAACATCGTTTTTATAACTTTGACGGGTCGTATGTTTCAACACACATCTTTAGAAGTGATCGTTAAAATTATTTCAAGTAATTTTTAATGCGAACTTGTAGAAAGAAAAACAAATAGCGAAAAAGCTTCTCACTGCGAACAATTTCATTAAAGGCTGGCTATAAGACACCAACCAACAAAGTCTCTTTATTTAAAAAGTATATCCGTTCTTGTACTTGCTATAATTTCAAGATGGTCCTTTTAAATATTAAGACCAGTTAAGGTAAAAATATGTGAAGTCATGAGTAATAAGACTATTTGTATTTCTTTGGTAGGATTGCATATCATGTTGCTGGACTACTGACCAAACATTGTTATAAGATCATTTACAGCCGGGTAAGGCGTTATCAGCGATTTTTAGATTCACTTGAAATTTTACAGATCTTCTCATAGCTACGAATGAATAAAGGCTGATAGTTTCAAAAGAAACTGTTTGGGGCTGCGTTGGTGGGAGTAACGAAATAATTTGGATATATCAACAAAGTTGAAATGGTAAATTGGCCACCGTAACGATTACAAAAGCTGACGTTTCGAGCGTTAGCCCTTCGTCGGAGCGAATAGAGGAATTGTGGGTTGTGTGTGCTTTTAAAGGCAGAAAATGGAGCTACGTTATTGGTGGGAACATGGCAACGAGAAAAACATGAATAAATTAGTGGAATGAA